TGGTGTTCTTGGGACATTATTTACCACCTAAGGGATGGCACAGAACTAATACCTGTGCACTGCCACCTAAGACTGCAAATCTCCCACTGACCTTCATGTAAGTTTAGTGTATAGCTAGATAAACCTTTGTTCAAAAATCAAAGAGAAAGGACTGCACAAGACCTCAGAATTAAAGGCACAGTGGAGGAAGCTTCTCTGTGAGGAAGCTTTGGGACATAATAGCCCAGTGAGAGAAATTCAGTGATGTTCTGACATTCTTCATCAGTTCACAACAATAAAATCCCTTTCTCTTCAAGAATGATGTCAACAGAAAGTGCCAACAGTTTTACTCTGATTGGAGAGGCTTCTGATGGGGGCACCATGGAAAATCTCAGCAGAAGACTGAAGGCAAGTCTCATGCTGACTGACAAAGTGTAAGTTCTTTGGGGTAGTTTGCTAGTTGGAGTTGTAACTCATATTTCTGGACTTCAAATATTTGTGTAGAATAAAGGTAAAAGTTTAAAATCTGTTCAGTTTATCAAGCTTGGGCTGTGAAAAATGGCACATTGCTGTTCTCTTAGTGGGCACAAGTCTGTCCATTGAAGACTTGGTTTTTCATTTAATATTGAGCAGAACCTGGAGCGGATTCTAAAATTTCTGTACTAAGAGTAAACTCTTTCTCTAGGTTACTGGTGACCTCTTTGACATTATGTCAGGACAGACGGATGTGGACCATCCTCTATGTGAGGAATGCACAGACACCCTTCTAGACCAGTTAGACACACAACTCAATATCACAGAGAATGAATGCCAGAACTACAAGTGAGTGATTTATTATTGAACTGTTGGAGCACTCCATCATCACTTCCAGTAGCCTTAGTCTGAAGAGCATGGAAAGAATATAGATATAAAGAAGTCCCTGAACGGAGCATTTGGCTGTTCTCCAAATCTCATCCTTTGAGAATTGCCTTAAGTATCCTTTTGTAACCACCTACTGTCTCCTGTAGACGATGTCTGGAGATCTTGGAACAAATGAATGAGGACGATAAGGAGAAGCTGCAGATGGAGCTGAAAGAACTTGCTTTGGAAGAGGAGAGATTGATCCAGGAGCTGGAGGAAGTAGAGAAGAACCGCAAGATGGTAGCAGAAAATTTTGAGAAAGTCAGGGCAGAAGCAGAGAGACTGGATCAGGAGGAAGCACAGTGAGTCTTAGCCAAAGTCTGTTTCATGGCAGGAGTGACAAATATGGACAAGTGGGTGTATCAGACTGGGTTGTGGGTAAACATGTACTATACTTCTAATCACTCACAAATACTGTCTGGGTACAAGTGGCTTCCTCTATTACAAAACTGGGGATCTGGTACCTACTTAGAGTGACTTGGGTCTCTCTCCACAGACAGGGTCTGACTGGGGTAGTGGTGCATGTAGGAGTTGGTCTTTTGCTGTCTTGTTCTGTTGGTAGCTTTCTCATTGTTGCTGTTTGAAGGTATCAGAAGGAGTACAGTGAATTCAAGAGGCAGCAACTGGAGCTGGACGACGAACTGAAAAGTGTTGATAACCAGATGCGCTATGCCCAGATCCAGTTGGATAAACTGAGGAAAACCAATGTGTTCAATGCAACTTTCCATATCTGGTAATGTAGGCTCTGGGCTAGAGGGGCAGAGCTGCTGAAGCTTTTGTGATTCTGCATTACAGCATCATTGCCAAGACAGCAGCTTGGTTTTTGGCAACTTAGGTGCTAAGCAGGGCTGAAATCTACTTCTTAGTTGAGAGCAGGCGATCAGATCTCCTCATGGTGGCAGCTGAAAGGGCAGGAAAGGAAACGTGCTCTACCCAGGCTGTGTGAGGAGATTTGCAAATGTGAGAGCAGCTGTCAAACCTGGGACCACGTGGAGCCCAGAGCTGAGCCCTAACTGAACAGCTCTGCATGAGCTTTTGCACTTGCCATGTTGAATCCTGAACTTTACAAAGATAATATAAGCTGCTCCATTGTCTTTGAGCTCCGTAAAGAGACTTGATGGCTTGCAGGGTTATTACCTTGCATTACAGCAGCAATGGGGATTAGGTGCCCTAGAGACAATCCTTGCCCCAAAGAGCTTACTTACAACTTCTCCTCGTAACACAGGCACAGTGGGCAATTTGGCACAATTAATAACTTCAGACTTGGCCGCCTCCCCAGCGTCCCTGTAGAATGGAATGAGATCAATGCAGCTTGGGGGCAGACTGTGCTACTGCTTCATGCCCTTGCTAACAAGATGGGCCTGAAATTTCAAAGGTAAGAGTAGTTCTTTATACACATTGTACTGGCTATCGTGCCATGGGAAAAGGCACTCACAGACTTATCTGCCTTTTCTTTCAGATACCGTCTCGTTCCCTATGGAAACCATTCATATTTAGAGTCCCTCACAGACAAATCGAAGGTAAGAAAGTCCAAAACTAATCTGCCTGGAATGCTAAATTCCCTCTATTCCTGCTAATACGAGTGAGCAGAAAATGTCAATCCTGCCATTCACGATTAGATCTTAGTACAGGCTTAATACAGTTGCTGCTGTAACTGCCTTACCTCTAATAATCGTAGAACTGGCAGGGACCTCAAGAGGTCATCTAGTCCAGTCCCCTGCACTCAAGGCAGGACTAAGTATTATGCTTCGTGCTCCCCTGGGGGGGGGGGGAGGGATGCAAAGAAGCAGAGGAGGTGCCCTGCTTTATTTAAAAGTCATTCTTCTGGCCAGTTGAGGTGTGTCAACGGGCTCAAGAGTCCTGTCCAGGTGGTGACTGGGATGAGTGGAACGCAATGTGGCTTGGCTCTTGAAGGCAGAGGAATCCCTAGGGCCATCTCCTGCGCCTGTGGTGAGAGTTTCTAAACTGGAGTCTCTCTCGGCTGCCTAGAATTAACTTCTGTCTTTTAGGAGTTGCCCTTGTATTGTTCTGGAGGTTTAAGGTTCTTTTGGGACAATAAATTTGATCATGCAATGGTGGCATTCCTGGACTGCGTGCAGCAATTCAAAGAGGAGGTGGAGAAAGGCGAAACTCGCTTTTGTTTGCCTTACAGGTAAATGTCTCTATCTGAAGTGCTTCTGTAACATAGTGCATGTTAGCCCATGCAGCTCTGCCAGTGCCCCTCTATCCTGAGCCACAGCATTCTTTGCTATTCCAGGCTTGTCTTACTTTCAGCCAAATCATCTGATGATTCTGTGCTTGAGTGGAGAGTGGCACAGAACCATTTCCTGGGCTCTGTCTCTTTTGACCTATATGGGATTTAAAGCTAGTTACTCAGCAATGAAAGGCCACTGCATAGTTTTTTTAAAAGCTGGTTATTACCTTTGTTAAAATAGGGCATCAGACCACGGCTTAGACAAAATGTTCAGTGGTCATGTAAGATTCATAATTCTGAGATTAAAGGGTCTGAAAATACAGTACTTGGATACTTCAGATGTCAAACCCAACTACAGAAATAACTGCTTCAAAATCAGTGGAATCAAGCTAGCTTAAATGAAGTTACACAGAGGAGATTACACAGCATTAGCGGCTTATCAGAGGTGACTATTTCTGTTGAAATGTAAATGTGTTAATAAACCTCTGTTTATATGATACAGAATGGATGTGGAGAAAGGCAAGATCGAAGATACAGGTGGCAGTGGTGGCTCTTACTCTATTAAAACACAGTTTAACTCTGAAGAGCAATGGACAAAAGCACTCAAATTCATGTTAACTAACCTGAAATGGGGTCTTGCCTGGGTTTCATCCCAATTTTATAACAAATGACTGAGTGTGTGTGAAGAACTTGGACTGAGGGCTAGAGAGTATCTGCTTTGTTTTTCTTCTCGAGAATGTCATAAATTGTCACTTAATATTAACCAATACAACATGTTTACAATACCAAAAATCCACAAGACACTTTAAAATTTAATTTGACAAGTAGTGCATAGAAAAGCAATATGTAAAATTGTACTGTTGAGCAGAACTGAATATAATTCAGCTCTTTATGAAATAGCTAGTTAGCAAGTATCTGGGAGTTTTATAGACAAGTCAGAAACTTGCTGTGCAGCACCAGTAGGTATCTGATGTAATCTCATTACAGTTTAAGAGAGAATGCAGTTAGAAAAATGAAATATTAGTGACACAGTGAGAACTGTGTTGTGGGCAAAGCCTATGGAAGCTCTGCCTGATCACCCTAAATGTTGACTAATGCTTGAAACTTAGTATCTTCTCTTTAAATCAGAACTGATGAGCACTTAACTTGGTGCCATTGAACTTTATGGGGGGTTTGATATTGTTTAAAACATTGCCAGCTATTTAACTATTTGTAACAAATATTTCCTGCAGCCTGTTACTGCACAAAGGTGCACTGAATAACACTGTAATAAAATACTTTGTATTCTGGACAAATTGAGTGCTTCCATTCCACATACACTTAACTACAGCATGGCATCCTGTGGACTGGTATGTAGATTCTGAATAGCTTTCCATCCAAGTAAGATTTAAATCAAGCTTTCAAAGCAGCTGGTGCTTGATTTGACTTGCATTTCCATGTTAACACTGGCAGACTACCTAACTGACTTTCTTTTTGAGCTGTGGGGAAACTAGATCTGGGGGGACGAAGGAAAGGAATATAGGAAGGAACAACCTTGAGATTGTAAACTGTTCAAGACAGTCACTGCTTCTGCACAACAGCAACTGTGTGAGGAAAGCCTGGCCCGGCGTGTAGCACTTGTACACAGTAAAACGGTTTGTAGACTTATTGCTGCCGTTTCTATAACCATTTTTCCGAAAGCAAAACACTTCACAATGGCAGCGTTTTACTCCGATGTCACTACTTCAGTATAGGGGATAGTTTGCAAAGGCCAATTTTAACAGTTTTAAATGCCATATTTGACAGCTACTACATAGCAATTAAACAAAAGTCCATCCTACGTGAGTTACAAGTCAAAACCACCTGCATCTATTACAAAAGGTTAGTGGCTGGAGCATGGCTTTGAGGACACCGATACATGGGAAAGGTTGCAGTGGAAAAGCCAAGTTTATTTTGTAAGAGATACAACATAGTTCTCTGAAGATCTAGTTCCTTTGTTCTTCCTTGGATTAGTGGTGCCAACACTGTGCTTCAGTATTGCATATGAAAATTCTAAAATGCTTTGTGTGGTAATACCAGTGATGCAGTTTAAATGCTCCACAACCTTAAAAAAAAATCTTCCTTATTTTGGGCAACAGAGCAGTAGTTCTAGATCTTAAATCTTTGAGTATTTGTAAAGGAAAACAAAAACATGATTATAGTCCACCCTATGGCTCCAGTACTGTGCTATCTAGCTGCTATGGGAATACAGATACATTAAAAAAAACACTAGCCCTCTGCAATTAGCCAGTTGAGGATCCTGTTAGTGGAATCTTTCTCCCTTACAGGGGAGGAATTTTTTTTTTTTTTTTTAAAGCAACTAACTGCTTCTGCTGTGAGAGGACAATTTTAAATAGGACCTCTCTTTTATATTATAAAACACAGGCTGGCTGTTGGGGGGAGATTGGTGCCTTGTGGGGTTACTCTTCCCCGCCAATGGAAGCCTTTGGATACAGCATGTTCTAGGAGTAAGAAAGCTGCAGGCTTCTCAGAATAGGTTTGCAAAGTAATGAGACACTCATGTTAAATTCCCAACCTCCCCTTGCCCTGCAGTACTAATATATTAAAGGACTCCACCTTTAATATACTCCCAGTGCAACACACCTGTCTCCCTGTACTCCGTAAACAGTAAAAGATGCAAAAAAAAATTTAGTTCATGTAAGCCTAAGAACTGCACTGTGTGTTTCTTGTCTAGCAGTACCTGATTCCAGTATTCAGGATTTAGTATGAAACCGCTTGTGCTGATGACGCCAACTGCCAAGAGCATGAAATCTTCCTTTACTGGCAAAAATTTTGCTCTGTATAATTAAAACAGTAGTAATATCTAGTTTTAAATTAAGCTGTTCTGTATTTCAATAGCTAAGTGTTGTAGTATTGATAGTGTGTATTTGGAGGTAAACAATTTTAGTGGCATTTTAATGTACAAAACACATGTACAAATTAACACTTTTAAAAGCCACTTCGGGCTGATACTAATACCTTCAACTTAAAGTCCAATCTCCCACTACTTAGTTTGGCTACATTTTCTTAAAGATAAGAGAGATCCTCTCAGTCTGCCTATTCTACAGCAAAGTTGCTGAAGCATTTTGACTTATCACTATTCTGCAGATGGAGAAAGATGCAGTGCACCCAGGATGACAAACATTCTCTGTCAGAGCTGGGATCAAAACTTGGCAAATTAAGTTAGTCTTACTTAGAACCGATTAGTCCCAAATACTACTTACTATGGACACTTTGTATACTACTTGACATTTCATAGAATTAGCAACTTAAATCCAGAAACCTCAGTCCCAGATTCTTAGTTCACAAAGAATGGTCTGTTGAGTTGTATTGCAAATAACTGTGACTTGTATTTTCTCAGTACACTAAGCACTTTTTCTAATCTGTATCTGCTGTATCATAATATGTCAAATAGACAACTATGAAACTGCAACAGATGGATGGTAAAGGCACAAGAATATGTGACCCTCACAAGCTTTTTCCCTTCCCTCTGAGCATAAAATCAATACTAGTTCAAATGTGTCCCGGGACATAGGTGGTACTTACATCTGGAGTTCACTCGGTGTTGAATTCTCAATAGAAATCTTCAGTAAAGTATCATAGATGATGTTCCGCATGAGATAAGTTAAATCCAGTAGGTGTATGCACATCTTATGCAACTGTTTCACAGGAAGTAAGCAGCCATTATGTCCTAAAGTGGAGATTATACATGGTCAGCTATATATTTTCTGATCCATAAAACTAGATTATGAAAAATATTAGCCATTATGACCAAGGCAGTTTTGTGTATTGAGTTTTTTATGGCTAAGATTTTCAGTAGTGACCACTTTAAGGTGAGGTACCCAAAACTTGAGACTCCATAAAAGGGTCTGACTTTGCTCAGCAATTTCTATCAATCAGGCCCCTTTAAAGGATCTCAAGTAGGACACCCAAAAATATCACAATTCACGTTGGAAAAATTGTGGCCTTATATAACTGCTTTTAATAAAAATATTAGTCTTATAACAACATCTTGCCAAACAGCCAAAAGACCAGTTACCCAGATGCATTTCTTCTTGGACGCTAACTGCTAGGCTCCTCGCTCTGTGATGTGTAAAGCTTCTTGCTTGTGTCAGTCAATGGTGGAAGGCTCTTGTGCAGATTTCTATCATTTGACAGGTAAAATGAGGCCCAGGACTCACCCTAGGAAACACCCCAGAGTAGGGAGAACACTTTGAAGCTTTGGGCTTTCCATTAATAATAACCCCACGGGTGAGTTTCTCTCTGTCACTTCATGCTTGATTGTACCTCTACAACAAACCATTAATCTGAGATTGTTTGTTTGAGTCTAGTGGTAACTGCATTTAGTCTTTTTTAATTTCTACACAGCTTCTTATTATTAATACTCTTACCTAACACCTCCAGAAGCAACTCAACATAGGCAAAAGGAGTTGGCACATTGATCTGGAAGCGTAGAGCCTTCAGAATGGCAAGTTCTGACTCCACCAAGTTCTGTTTTGTGTATGAATAGTCTAAGGACTGCAGAAATTTCAGAACTGTGTTATTGTTTATTATCTGGAAAAAACAGTGATGGGTTATTTTTAAAACTGCTGCTGTGAGTAAGAGGTGTTCTCTCAAGATCCCAGAAGTTCACCTGCATGATGATATACTGTTAATAGTTTCTTTTTGAGCTGAGAACTAATAGAATTTTTGTTTAACTTGCCTTCTAAGCTAAAAATGGAAAATGCAAGCTGAAATTATTACCCTTTGCCAGGTAGTAGCACATATTGGGGTTTTACAGGGCTGTGCCCCATTGGAGCAGAAAGCAGGGATGCTGAGTTTGGGTATTTGATCAGTATAACTTTTTTTATTTACACAATATACACATATCTTGGAACAGAAGTGGTCACACATGGCAGAAAGGCAAAGCCCTCCCCCTGCAATATCAGCCCTAACACTATTGCCCACTTCCCAGGAAGTATATTTGTCCCAAGGGTCAACTCCAATTAGAGAGATTAAGGCAGAGAGAAAACTCTCTTGCTTTCAATATTTTCCTCAAAAATAAAATACATCACAATACTAACAACAACACAGCATTTCTTCAAACTGAATAGGGCATCACACACTAAGAAAATTGACTTGTAAAACTATGTAACGGCATCATCTGGCGACTCCCTCCAAAACAATCCTGGGTTTTGATATTGTGGTATGCTTAACAACCAAATGGTACAGGTCATGGTTACTCTAAATAATAAAATTATGTTAACGTCTTTCATTGTGAAGGTGCAGTGTACGATTTCCAGAGGCATAACAGATACTGTGCCTGAGTGCAAGAGGGTCTAGATCTCCCATGCCCAAATTATCCTGGATTACATAGTCACTGCTGTCCTTTGAAACAGTAACTCCTTTGGTGCGGAGTTGAGATAAAACCAAAATCTAAGTAAGAAAGAATATACTGTAGTACTACAAATCTGGTGTAAGAAAGTGGTTAGTTTGCTCACATTGTAGTGAAAAGAAAGTTTGCTTGCAAGCTGAATGCAAGAGACAAGCCGCAGCACAAATGTGTCACACATCTGTGCTTTCAAAGTGCCCCAGATGTTGCCCTCTCCTTGTTCATTGTTTGTCCTTGGCTTTTTGTTAGCGTTATAGCTCTCTTCTACATGCTTAATCATAAACCTGCAAGAAAAAAAAAGCTAACTATGTTAGGAATCATTAGGAAAAGGATAGATAATAAGACAGTAAATATAATGGCACTATATAAATCCATGGTATACCCACACCTTGAATATTGCATGCAGTTCTGGTCACCTCATCTCAAAGAAGCTATATTAGAATTGGAAATGGAACAGAAAAGGGCAACAAAAAGAATTAGTGGTATAGAATAGCTTCCATACAAGGAGAGATTAAAAAGACTGCGTCTGTTCAGCTTAGAAAAGAGAAGAGTACAGATACAACAGAGGTCTATAAAAATCATGAATGTTGTGGAGAAAGTGAATAGGGAAGTGCTATTTACCCCTTCACATAACACAAGAACCAGGGTCACCTGATTAAACCTGTTGCCTATTAATTTAAAACAAACAAAAGGAAGTACTTCTTCACATAATGCACAGTCAACCTGTGGAACTCGTTGCCAGAGAATGCTGTGAAGGCCAAAACTATAACTGGGTTCAAAAAAGGATCTGTAAGTTCATAGAGGATAGGTCCATCATTTGCCAAGATCGTCAGGGACACAACCCCATGCTCTGGGTGTCCCTAAACCTCCAACTGCCAGAAGCTGGGACTGGATGACAGGGGATGGATCACTCAAAATTGCCCTGTTCTGTTCATTCCCTCTGAACCATCTGGCACTGGCCACTGTCAGAGACAGGGTATTGGGCTAGATGGACCACTGGGCTTGCCCAGCATACATTCTTATGTAAAAGATCGGATCTCCAAAAAGATGCCTTTTGCTAACAAAAAGAAAAGTACCTTCTAACTTGTATTCAGAATACTTTACTCTCAATATACATACCAATTATACTTGTAATTAAATGACAGGAAAGACAAAGCTGCAGCTATAAAGATACTCCATATCTTCTGCCTGAGCAGTGCAGAATACATACAATATAACTGTACTACAGATATAAGAATTGCATGTTGTCTTTGCTTGGGAAGTTACCTTTCAAATATTTCAACTGCTTGATATCGTGCAGATTGGTCCAGGAACCATTTTTCACACAGAAGAAATACAAATTCTGCAAAAAAGTGCAATTAATCATAACTGGAACTGATGGATAAGATGGACACACTTTATCAAAAAATAAAAGTAACTAAGCGAGACGATAAGGAATCAGACATGAAAACGGAGTCACCCTTTGTAGAGAGGCCACTAATGGGAGTTTATTCAGAGGATAAACAACGAGGAGTCCTTGTGGCACCTTAGGGACTAACAAATTTATTTGGGCATAAGCTTTGTTAGTCTCTATGGTGCCACAAGGTGCACACAAATGCACACATCAGGCATTCATGGCATATGGACACAGACACACAAACATACACAGGCTGACAAAGATCTGCATCTCTCACCCACTATCTGGGTCTCTTTGAAGCATCCTGCTTGATCCGACAGCTCATTCAGATATTGTTCATTTTCTGTAGCTAAACAAATTAAAGTATCTTCAATGATCTCGGGAGCAACAACTCCAAAGACTGGCTCCGGGGTGCGAAACCTGGACACTGCCTGTGCCTCTGAGCTCATCTCAGCACTTCTGACCAGTTCTCAAACAATAAAATAATAACAGTGTTATTTGTATAGCGCTGCAGCTGTACCCACTACAGTAATTATCAGAGAGGGCACCAGGTAGTGCACGGAACAAGTACAATCCGAAACTTTGCTATGGAAAAATGACACCTCCGTACTCTGGATGTGCTCCCTGCGTGGGTTCGGAATCATGCTGGCGTTAGTAACAGGTAACACGGACGCTTGTACAAGTGTTCACTTGTGTCAGTGCTGCAGGGGCCATCGCAGGCACAGGCGGGAGAACGGGATTTCAGTCGGCCCTGGTGCTCCCTCGACAGTTGTTAGCTACATTCCAGCCCCAGGGCAGGGCCACCAGCTGCCCTCCGGTACCACGCGTGACCCACACCCCACGGGGCTTTATGGAACACGCGACCACCGTTTGGGGCGTCGCTGATGAGCGGACGATAAAACGAACTCGCTGGTTACCCCGCTAGCGCCCGCCAAGGGGGCGTGGGTCCGTAGCGGAGGCAGGGTTGCCTGTCCCCCATGAGGAAGCTGGCGGCTCACTGCTGGCTACCCGTGCCACCCCCCCCCCCCCCCGTCAGCGTGGGGGCCACACGCGGGCGCTGCTGCAGCCGGGGCGTTCCCCCAGAGCAGAGTCAAGGGGCGAGTTGGGGAACCTGCTGTCCCGAGTCTGAGCCTGGGCAGGGCCTGGGGGGGTTGGAAGGGAGGTTTCAGGGGGTCCCAGCCCGGGGGGGGTCGAGGCCCCCCCCAGACCGATGGTGGGAGCTGGAGGCCTCGGTTGCTCTGGGATATTTTTTCCCTCCTCATCACCTCATCTCACATGCCGTCTCTCAGCCAATCACACGACGCCATAGCCCGTTGCCATCTGGTCACGTGGCATTCTCCCACTCGCTCGAGACGCCTCAGTTAGGCACTTCTTCCCGCCTAAAAGCTCTCCGGATCACGTGAAGTCACTGACCACCAATCGCAAGAGACGCTCGATGGACGCTCAGTGTCACGTGGCCCGCGTAACCAATCGGGCGGGAGCACCTGGTCCCCTAGCGGTGATTGGCCAGAATCAGAACTTCCACCGCTCTCGCGGATGGGTACTTTGCCCTCATCGAACATGGCGTCACGCGCGTCACGTAGGCGGAGTCACGCCGACGCTGCTGGGGTCGCGCGTTTGCCCGAAGCGGATATGACGGCAGCCTCCGCGCGCCGGCCCGTCAGTCACGCGGGCGGTGGGCGCGGCTCCGCGGGGAAGATGGCGGCGCCGCGGGAGCCGGGCCGGGGCTCGGGGGCCGCGTTCGCGAAGCGGATTGACCCGGCGCGGGAGCCGGAGCTGAGCGCGGAGCAGCGGCGCGTCACGCAGCGCGCGGAGGAGGCGCTGCGCCAGCGGGCCCTGCAGCGGCGGCTCCGGGGCCGCAACCTGCTGACGGGGCTGGGCATCGGCGCGGTGGTGCTGGGCATCTGTATCCGGCCGGGCCGCGGGGCGGGGGGGGGGGGCCCCCCGGCGCCCGGGGGGGGGGGAGGGGGGGGGGGGGGGGGAAGACCGTGTCCCCAACTCCCCCCGGAGGAGGAGGGGTGGGACGAGCGTGCCCCCCTGGAGGAGGAGTGGGGGGTGGGAGGAGAGGCCCCCCTGAGGAGGGGGGGCTGGAGGGATTCTTGGGGGGAGCAGGGAAGGGCCACTGGGGGGGGGGGGTCTCTGATTTCCCCCCCCCATGTTTTCCTGAGCCGCCCCGTCCCAGATGGTTACACCTTCTACAGGATCTCCCAGGAGCGATTCCTGGACGAGCTGGAGCAGGAGGTCGAGGCTGCTAAGACCCCAGTGAACTGAGCCCCTGAGCAGGCTGGGGCTGCTCCCCACTTGGGATGGATCCAGCTGGAACTGAGGCCTGTGCCAGGGACCCTCAGCAGCCCGACTCCTCTTGGGTTGCATCTGCCTTTGACATGCCAGGCACTCCCTGTGGGGGGCTGAGTCCCCCTCGATGGAAGGGGCGGGGGTCCCCTCTCCCCAGTGGGGACCAGGCGCCTGTTAACTCCAGTTAAACCTTCTGGCTGCAGTTGCAGACTGTGGTGCAACAGCACCAGGTTTGTTTCCTGACATGCTCATCTGCTCTTCACCCCCTGCAGCAGGTGGGCCAGGGCCTCAATAAACCTGTCTAAATGATTCACCAGAGTGGGTGTGTGAAATGCCAGCCCTGGGCCTCCCAAGTGGGGCCTGCTGGGGGGCGGAAGGATAAGTTGGGGTAAGTGCAACATCCCTGTAATATCTTCTTGTTGGTGAAAATACACATGGGGGAAGCTTAAATGCTGTCTGCCAGGTCTGTCCTAGCAGCCCCTGGGGTGGTTTGTAGCTATTTAAGAGCAAATGGGGAAAGGTGGTAGAATAGTGTCTAGGACCAAGTTTGTTGGCTGCAGACGTGGTGCCAGTGTTTCTTGGGCTGAACACGGCTGCCTTGGGGCTGCATCATGAATTCTTTGTTTCCTGGTGCTGAGAGGAAGCCAGGGGCGGTACCTGGCCTGGGGGTGCCACCCAGCGTGTTTACCACCTGCAGGAAGAGGAGGATGCAGCAGGGAGTGATTCTGCCCCAGGCTGTGATGAGCCCAGTTATCCACTGACCTCAGCACATGCCCTGGTGTGGGGGGGAAAAGTAGAGCCCTGGGAGAGGCTGATACATGGAAATGTGCCTCCTTGGCCTCAGGGGAGAGAGATTTGAGTCCTGCAGGTACAGGACTTGCTCAGCCTTTCTAAGCTAGTACATGGCTGCAGAGCTCCCTGGCGTGAGTTGTGCTTCACCTCTGGCTGAGCAATGCTCTCTCCCTTCAATCTACAGCATCGAATGGCTAATCTGCATTGCACCACAGTAGCCAGCACCCAGCCCTGGGGGGGGGAAGCACTGGATTGCCCAAGCCATGGTCCCTGGGCTGCCCTCATTTCCACGGGTCAGGGTGTTTGAGGCATTGACCTTACTGGGCCTTTGGGGGGTGGGCACTAGACCTGGACGTCAGTGACTCATTTTTTAAAAGGTGATGCAACTTTGAGGATATGAATAAAACCAACTTTGTGGTGAGCTGCTTGCGTGACCTTTGGCTAATGATGCCTGTGCGCCTGCTCAGATACTCCAGGGAGAGGAAAAACCCTGCAAGTGATGTGGGGAAGGTGCCTGTATACTGCCTCCACGACCCACTGAATTAGATACAAAGGTGACGTGCTGCACAAACCGCCCCCCCCCCTCACTCCCAGGAAGGACTCCCCCAGAAAGGGTGGCTCTTAATGCCCCTGGCCCAGCCTGCATGGGAAACCCTCCTTCCTTTGCCCCTGCAAAGGGCAGAGCTCCAGCACCTGCAGTTATCTTTGCCTTTGTCATATTCCAATAAATGCCTCTAGAAATTGTGCTTCCAAGTAGATTATTAAGGCAGCTGGTGGCAGGCGGCCAGCTCAGTGCCTCAGGGACTGTTCCATGAAGCACACATTTACCTAAGAGGCTAAAGAGTGTTGGGTGCGGGGGAATGAGATTTTCCAGCTCATTGGATTAAGTCCTGAATTCACAGGAGGAGAGGGGAGAGCAGGTGTATTACCTAGTGGCCACCTTCCCACACCCACCCTGCCATGGACACAGCAGGGTTTCTCCTCAAACCGTTTACAAGTAAAGCCTCCCACCCGCATCTGTCCTACAGGAAGAATCAATTTGGTTACAAGATGCTCCAGCTGCTGTAATCACACCCCACCGGCACTGTGCAGTCAGCCATCCCCATTTGATCTGTTTTATTCACAACCACTGTACAGAGTCTCTAAAAAGCCTTTTACGACAAGGTCAGTCTGTCCTATGGCGAGGCAGGGCAAGGGCAGCGCTTCTCGCTGACGCTATGGGGCCAGAGCAGAAGCCGAGCTCCAAGGCCCAGTAAGTACAAGCCTGCTGCCTGTTGCCCAGGAGAATGGCTTGGCACGAGGGTGTAAAAGCACTTGGCCCGATGCTGCTGGTTTATGGTTCTGGGGCAAAGAGGCACTGAGAACTCAGCCCCTGCGCAAGGGGCAGCACCCCCCTCACTGCAATGGGGCTGGCGGCTCCTGGCGAGGAGTAAAGCACAGAGGTGAGTTGCCATAAAGGGGAGGGACAGGGTCTGCACGTGCATTTCCTATAACCCACGCCCTGCCTTCAGCAAACATGACCCCAGGGGCCTAGCTCAGGGTGTCGGGGTGAAGTGCTCTCCACCCAGGGCATGAGTCCAGGCAGAGGCAAGATCAGCCACACCCCAGGCAGCCTGGGCCTGCGTCCCTGGCACTCGCCCTGTGGGTGAGGGTGGCCCTGGTGCTTTCTGGGAGTGTCTGAAGAGTGGGGAGGTGGGGTCAGTGAAGGGCTGGGACCCAGCTAAGCAGGAAGCGTTTCTCAGCTGACACTAGGGGGTGCTCTGAAGCAAGGCTCCCCATGGTGGTAGGGCGTTACCCTGCCCCACTCAGGCTCCTGTCCAGCTGCAGCAGGTGCTGGGGAGCAGGTGAACCAGGCTGGGCGGGACCCTAGTGCTGCCACCATCAGACTTCACAGGGGCCCGTGGGGGGCAATGCAGATCCTCCCCGGGGCTGTCGGACAAAGCCAGGAGTCTCTGGCGGCCACGCTCCAGGCGGTGGCACCCGCAGCAGACACCATGGGGCCGGCTCCACAGGGACAAAGCTGGGAGGGGCACACAAGGGCAGGAGTTGCCAGTGCTGTCTCCACACCCGGAAGAGCCTGTGGGGCAGGGTGCTGCCTGGTCAGCTCACAGCAGGGCCTCTCACCACCCCTCCAGGGCAGCTGGCGCATGGCTGAGGTAGTCCATGAAAATCGGTGCTGGCAGGCCGGTTACTGCGGAGAGAGAGAGAAGGGGGCTAAGCTGGCGCTGGTCCCAGCAGGGGGCACTCACCCTGAGGGGCCTATGGGCAGGAACCAGCCGTGCGCACACTCGGGGGCTCAGAGCCACGTGCCCAGCCCCCCAGGGGAACCCGGCCCCTGTCACTGTGGGGTGTGCAGTGCCTCCGTAGCACGCTCCAACACAACTCCTCCTGTGCCAGAGGGAGCGTGGCCCATGAGGAGGTGACACCCCTGGGGTTCGGAGGGATGGGACGCTACAGCCCAGGAGGCCCCCCAGCAGCCCCCCCCCCCCCCCGCATCTGCCCTCACCGTTCGGCTGAGGTCTCCGGCGAACGTCACCCCTCTGCTCGGCCGCTGCTCCTGCGAGCCGGTACTGCTGCCACTCAGCGAGTTCCTGCGCATGATCCCTGCTGGGAGCCAGACGGGGTGAGTGGCCAGGGGGCCACCGGGCTGGGGGCCCTGAGCCGCCCCCCAGGTGCCTGCTGCACAGCCTGGCATGTGGGGACATCTCCCCTGCCATGGAACACGCAGGTTAATGCCACCTCCCCCAGGGCAGAGACCTGAGGATCCTCCGTGCAGCCCAGGGTGTGGCCACCAGAGAGCTCCCCACAGCACATGCCCCTGGGCACTGAAGCCACATGGGGGTCCCAGACAGAGAGAACGAGGACAGCGGGGGGGGGGCGGGATCAAGTGCCAGCAGGGAGCAGCCGAGGATGGCGGGGACGGGGGTCAGGTGCGAGGGGAGGGGGGCCTGGGGGGTCAGGTGCCAGCAGGGAGCAGCCAAGGGCGGCGGCGGCGGGGGGTCAGGTGCCAGCGGGCCAGGTACCTGCGGGATGCGAGAGGATGGGGGAGGGGCTGGGGGGTCAGGTGCCAGCGGGGAGCAGCTGAGGACAGCGGGGGGGGGGGGGGGTGTCAGGTGCCAGCAGGGAGCAGCCGAGGATGTCTGGGGAGGTCAGGTGCCAGCGCGGAGGAGCGGGCCAGGTACCTGCGGGCCACGAGAGGATAGTGGGGGGGTGTCTGGGGGGTTAGGTGCCTGCAGGAAGCAGCCAAGGACAGTGTGTGGGGGGGG